TTATATATATATATTTAAACTTATAAATAATATTATAATTATTAATTAATTTATAAATAATTTAATAGGCCCTATATAATAAAAAACTATTATTTATAATATATTATAATAAAGGGATTTAAAAAGGAACTTTTTTTAATTTATAATAAAATATAAAAGTAAAGTTAATATAATTATATTTAATATAAAAATTTAAGTTAATATAAATCTTTAAAGGTAGTTTTTTTAAATTAAATATATAAATTATATAAAGGATATAAAAATAATATATAATAAATATATATAAAAATAAATTTAATTTAATACTTTTTATTAATTTAAATAATATTAAGCTTTTAATTTATTTTTTAATTATTTATTATATTTTAAAGGATTATAATATTTTAATAAAAGGGAAGTATAAAAATAATATAATAATTATTATTTATTTTTAGCTTTATTTTATTTTTTATTTATTTAAACTTTTTAAATAGTTTATTTTTATATTATATAGCTTATATAATTAAAGTTCCGGTTTTATTTAAATTAAATATAGTTTAAGGTAATATAGCTTAATTAATTATAATTAAAATAAACTATTCCTTTATAGTTTTTTTAATTTAATTTATTTTTATTATTACTTTATAAATAATTTAAAGGAGCTTTAAAAAAGGGTTAACTTTTTAAAATAAAGTTATTAAATTAATAATTTTCCTAATAATTAAAACTTTAAAAATATTAATAATAACTATTATTATTATTTCTTTAATAATTATAACTATTATTATTACTTTAATAGTTATTATTATTATTATTACCTTTATAATTATTAATATAATTATAGTTAAAACTATTATTATAATTATTATTATTATATCCTTTATATTTATTTTTATAATTATTATTAATAGTTTAATTATTATTTTAACTTTAGTTTATATTTATAGGTAATTTATTATTAGTTTAAGTATTCTTTAATTTAAGCCTTTTTTTTCTATAGTTAGCCCATTAGTTTTTATTTATTAATTTTTAATATTATTATATTATATTAATTATTTTAATCCTAGTTTTTAATAAAGGATTATAGAAATTTATTAATTCCTTTTATAGGGGTCCATTTAATTTTTAATAGTATAATAGAGCTTTTTTACCTTTATTTTATTTTAAGTTTTAACTTTTAATATTAATTAAATATTAATTAAAAAGTTTTAAGTTTTAATTAATATATTATATAATCTTTTTAAATTATATATTAATATTAACTTATAAAAAGGATAATTAATATAATAAGGTTTTAATTTAATTTAAAAATATATTTTAATTAAACTTTATTTATTTCCTTTTTATATATTTAAGCTTTTTTTTTATAATTTAATATATATTTTTATAATTTTTATTTATTTTATTATATATATAAAGAATTTTAAGGGTATTAATTTTAAATTTATAATTAGCTTTATAGAATATAATTTTTAATTTTTTTATTTATTTTAACTATTTTAAATAAGTAAACTTTATATTAAAAGGGTTATAGTTAAATTTAAAAAGTTAATTTAAATTAACTTCTTTAAAGGAATAATATTTATAATAATATATATAACTATTTTAATTATATTTTATATTAAAGCTAAATAATAAAGGGTTATTATTATTAGGATTACCCTTTTTTTAATTTTAATAATATTATTAATTATTAAGGGTTTATAAATTATTAAGGTTAAAATAATACTTTAATTTATTTAAACTTAATATTTTTAAATTCTTTTTTCTTTTATTTAAATGTAATTTAAAAGGGGTATAAGTTACCTTTAAACTTTAAATAACTTTCTTTCCTTTAAGAAGTTATTTCTTTAGCTTTATAATTTTAATTAAGAATTAAACATTTATTTATTATAATAATTAAGCGTTAGCTTTATTTATTAGATTAAAGTTATTGGAAGATTTTAATAATTAATTTTAAGTTTATTATTTTTTTAAAGATAAATTATATTAGCTTTATTTTTAAATTATTATTAAAAATTCTTCTTAATTTAAATTTTTTAAAAGAGTATTAGCTTTAATTATTTATTTATATATAGGTATATTATAATTAATAATATTATAAGTAATTTTAAGGGGAAGCTTTAAAATTATTATAAATAGGTTAAATCTTAAAGGTTAGGTATAATGTTATAAGTTTTTTTAATCTTATAATAGGTATTTAATAAAACTAAAGCTTAAAGAAGGAAAGAATCTCCTTTAAAGTATATATAAAAAGGATATAGAATATATATAAAATATATATATTCTAAGGGCCTTAAGATATTATAATATAATATTTAACAATTTAAATTTAAATTAATTTAAGGTAATTATATAAATAATTATTAAAATATTTTTAAATATATATATAAAGGTTAAAAATATAGCTAGGTTAATTAAATAACTAAGTTAAATAAAAGATACGTTATATTAAATATTTAATTAAATAAAAAGGTTAATTAATAAAGAAATGTTATTAAATTTAAAAACTTTATAATTATTTTTTTAATAATATTATTAAATTAATTATTAAAGAATTTAATGATTAATACTTAAGTAAACTTATTAATCCTTAAATTATAAAAGTATTAATATAATAATATAATTTAAAGAATAAACCTTAAAAAGAAGGGAAATTATATTATATATATAAACTTTATACCAATTAAAAAATGCAATTTACTTTATACTTTAATTATATAAAGAACTATTATAGATTATTTATAACCTTTTAAAATATATAAGCAATATTAAGCAATATTAAAAAGTAAGGTTATATAAACTTTACTTTTTAAAATAAACCTTAAAGACTTAAACGGTTTAAATTAATAAATCATTTATATATAAAGTTATTTTAAGCTATTAATAACTAAAAAGGAATTAATTAGTTAAAGATTAATGCAGCCCTAGTTAATTATTATAATTAAAATCCTTATTTCCAAGCCCAGTTTAACTGCCCTTGTTATAAATACGGGCATAGGTTACAATACTGTTACGTGAAAATTGCCACATACCCGTGCCTTCCCCGGTTGACTATTCCTTGTCTATGAACAGGATCTCCCCTGTACAGATAGCAGGGTGTTTGTTTTCAATGTAAATAGTTTTACATGGCCCTCGGCATATGAGCCCTGAATTTATATCAATTCGTTTACACATAACTGTTAGCTCTAGCTGTTTTCCTAAATACTCAACAAAGGAGGATAGCACGCTTCATCTAAACAAGGAACGAAGAATGCGATCTCGAACCAAGCAGCTACTTACTAAATAGTGGCTACTTGATGCATATGCCATATTCTTCGCGTGAGAAACTAAATCCTATTATGAGGTGATACCGCTTGATAAAGTATTAGGTTTGATTTGAGGCATCTCTACATACATACTAGTACAAGAGGCCAAAGTACGGGCACTATGACATGGACATTACTGAGTGGTGTTTGATCAAGTACCATACCTCGTTTGCCAAAACGCTACAAATAGGAGAAGCATGAAGGGAAATCACTCTTACAAGTGGCAAATGCTGAATTGTATCCCTGGAATCTTAAATGAATGTCAAGGTTGGAGACTGAAGCTCCATGTCAGGCTTTCACCCCTTCAGAAACACGCCAGTGGATAGAAATACACTACCTACGTGGCATCGATACTCAAGCTTGTGTCCCAGCTCCGTATTAAATAATGAGCCTTCGGGAATGTCTTTAAGTACCAGAGCTTCATGTTGCAGAGGATGGTAGCCCTTGTCGCTTACTAGTCAAAAGTTGCCTAGACAATGAATATTTCTAGGGACACTTTTTCACAAGCTGCAGCTATTGTCCCGTTACATAATATGTAATCGGCAAACAGATACATAGGTGCTGTAACACGCCAGTTGCCTTCATACTTACACACGTAGCTATTTAGTTTCTACATGCCCTCAAGTAGAATATAGTATCGGGGCCTAGCTGAGAGAGTGGGGATAAATAGTAGGCGACCGCAATACATAGTCTCAAGTAGCGCGATCCTCTATGTGTGAACAAGAGCAACTCATTCATGGTTATGCAAGCTAATAACGCTCAAGACCACTCAAAGTCACCAATAACAGAAGCAACAATCTTCTAGTGAGCTTGACCACTCCTACTAAGTCAAACCTCTGCAGTAATGGGTTGTGATAGCTGCCCAGCAAGCCTAGATCAAAACTCTTCGCCCGTCACTAGTTAGCATTTACACTGGGGACAAAACGGGGTTGTTTCAATGTCTATATTTGGACGGACGGAAACGGAGACATGAATCGAAATTATAGCCGACGAATCAGTGCGTCTGAAACCTGCACGGAAAACTATGACCCAGGGCAGAACCAGGGGAGATGCCAGATCGGGACCCGCGTCCACTCATCGTACAGGAGGATTGGTATGAAATCTTGTGACGAAGATATTGCTACCACAACTCTATTTCCTATTCAGGGCAACCATGTGCGATCACAAAACGTTAGTTTATACTTACTTACTTAATAGTCACTACCATGGGGCTTGCCAGTTGCCTCTATTGAGCAGCTACTGACTTTGCGTTGTCTTGCGAGATGTACCTGAGGAGGTGGCCTTCTCAACAAGGAGAAGAGAGTTCGGCTTCCTACCCTTTCTGAATATTTTATGGTCGTGTACTGCAGCCTTGAGTCTGCCTTGAGGTATTTAGCAGGCTAACTACCTACCTGAATGCACACATATATGATACTGGCCGAGTTTTAACCCCAGACTATTTAGTAATCAAGTTGTTAAACTAAGTATGCATACCATAGCTTGCTTCAATGTGTGCCGCCTGTTTAGGGATGATGGTCATAAGAACTTGCACGAACAGGGTGATGATCCTCGACAAGAAGAGATCCTTCCAGGTTCGGCGGCAGTTCGGATTCATCATCATCCCTATCCCCCTAATCTCAATATGGCAAGGATGCTATTAGCGGATGTGCTTCCCTGTTCTCCCCTGTTCTCGTGGAGGCGGATGAGCTACAATCCGTAGAATAGGTTAGACCACACTACCTAGTGTAAACAGTTGGGCTCACTGTACCTCGTGTCTGCCGCGGCTTAGACCAATATATACTTGACTATGTAGATAGATTTGCACTACCGTGAAAGCCGGGGATTCTCATTCTTTTCACTAGTACACGACGCGCGGGTAGCGGTTACGATTATGTTGTGAACATCTCTTCCTGATACGGTCCCTTCCTTGGTAATGTCGTCGCTGGATTCGATGTGAATACGCCATAAGCTCGAGTTGGAGTTGTGTACTCTTTCCACCCTACGATGGTTCACCCGTACGAACCTCCACCTCCTCTGCCGGCTGAGAATGGCGTACATGTCTGGAGGACGGCGGTTGTTGTGCCGATAATTACTTTCTTTTTCGTCGCTACAAGATTTTACACCAGGTTATACATGTTAAGACGGAAGCCTACTATTGACGATTGTACGATGCGCCGGGTTTCCATCAACTTACAACCTGCTAACGAGCGGCCGATACAGATATTGTTGGTGCGACTATGCTCGTCAGTATTGCGCATGCCGTCCTGATAGCTAACGCTACGTACCACGGCATGGGCTTACATATATGGCAATTTACGCCCGAGCTAAATTCAGAATATTATCTCTGGATAGGCATATCTTCCGAGTTTTACAACCTCGGATTAGCTGGCTTCAAAAGCGCTCTGATCCTCCTATATTTGCAAACATTTGGCCTTGTGAGCAAGCGGTTCAGGATAGCCTGCTACCTCACGCTTTTTTATACGTTGGGATATATCACCGCCAACCTTATTATCGAGTTTCTGGCATGCTGGCCGATTGCGAAGAAGTGGCACCCTGAATTGCCGGGCCACTGCATCAACCGAACTGCTGCAAACACATTCTTTGGGGTCGGCCACGTCACGTCCGATCTCATTATTGCTATTCTCCCGTTACCTCCAATATGGAAACTGTCGTTCCCTTCGACCAGACAGAAGATTGGGCTGAGTTTCACACTTTCGAGCGGTTTCATGTTGGTCAATCTCTGCACCACGTCGGCTGCGCTCGACTGAGATTCGTTGTCCTTGCTAACCGGCAGACTTAGTGCATGGGCTGTTGCCACCGTTCGATACGTAATCTCGACATATAACCAATTCACTTACGACCGCCCTTGGTGGGCTGGGATTTCCTTTGCCTTCTCTATACTGGAGCTTAACACGGGTTTGATCTGCGCATGCGTCCCAACCTTTACGCCTCTCCTATCTATCTTCACCGCATCACGAGTCGACAACTTCATCACTACCTGGACTACGCGCGCCTCTGGGGTGTGGAACAACAGTTCCGAGAAGAAACCCTGGGACGACCTTGAATATCATGGCCACCTAACAGCCGATACACATGACCCGCCGAAGAGCTCAGGAACTACTAGCGGGACAACTATAACCGCTGTTTCTTCGAGAGATATGGCCACTTTTAGCCCAATCACCCAAGATGACGATATACCCATGTATGATTTATCAGGCTTACAAGCTCTTGCGGAGCGTGACAGAATTCCTTAAGTTGTCAATATGATTTGCTTCATCTACAATAGGGCTGCTTGTGTGTCTCGTGTTTCTAGCAAATGACAAAACTGAAGTGCACTAACCCTCGCCTATGATAGACTTAAACTAAGCCGGGGTTACTTATTGAGCTTTAGCTATGAAACAGGATGCTCATTCTTTTCTGATATATGGTAGAAGCAAAGGGCCGATAGCCAAAATCACGAATGGCACTTCGACTTCTAAACACGAGTAGCAATGACTATACTATGTATGTGGACGATAGTTGAATCTGCTACGTTTCATGAACAGCTGCCAATTTAGAATGTTGCTACCTAATTTCAGGGTCCTGAAGCTGCCGTCAGATCCTGTCTTATGCACACGCACGCATGTTTGAATTGAAACAGGGATCAGGGGTAATGGTTCATCTACACGCCTACTGCACAACACCTCATACATAGAACTCATGGTATTTGCGTAAGTGAGAAAATATAATAGCAATTACGGGGAGTGGGCTTTATTGTATTATTCGGGATACCATATTGCAAGTTCTTCCTACTTTACGTCGTTGCAATGTCATATGATTGCGAGGACATCGTGGTAACACGTATTTCTAGAAGACTCAGGTTACGTAGCTAAATACGAATTGACGCCGCTTCGTTGGTAATTTAATGAGACGCTATTACAGCCTAGCCTAATCCTTTGAAAGCCCTCGCTCGCTATCACGTACCCAACCGCAAAACCACTCACGAAAGCGGGCTCGCAAAGCATTCGGCATCCATCTGGTTCCCCTCACCCCATCGGAATACCGTAGTAGCATAGTGCTCCCATCCCAAGTGACGATACAGCCTGATAGCAGCCTGATCCTTAACAAGAGCGAGAATGAGGAGCCGCAGGCCCTTTTTGCGCGCCTCTTCCTCCACGATGCGTATGAGCTGAGTCGCGGCGCCGCGCCCACGTTTCTCGGGATGAACAAAGAGCCTTCCGAGCACAGCGACCTCGGCGTGGGGATGTGTCTCCAGCCACCGCGCGACATTAACGTAGGTTTCGACCGCTCTGTTCATGGCGACGTGGCCGATGATGACGCCGTCGTCTACAGCTACCCAGGCTTGGTCATCTCCCTGCAGCGCTTCTAGCGCGTGCGCGACGCCGTCGACGGGATATCCGCTGTCGTGATAGACGGCTTTCATCGTCTCGACACATGCTGGTAGGTCTTCGTCTCTGCGGAGCCGTATGCTAGCCATTGAAGAAAAAGAGATGGATAGTAGGTCAGAAGTAGAAGACCCGATAAGCGCAGCTAGTTCGCACGGTTATTAGAATGAGCATATGAATTTCGTTTTCTTTTTTTTTTCCTTCTCCGCGAACTAAATGACGCTCTCGCTTGCTTAGGCCATTTGGATGTTGCACATCAACCGAATGTAAGTGTGTGGAACCCATTCTCACGTTTGTGTATCTATGTACCTCGATAGGCTCACAACGTTTAAGAGCCCCTCTGCTGGCCTAATGCCATTATCATATACACTTGACAGAACGACTTTGATTAATGGGTAATCTAGGTTGGAAGATATCACTTATTTATGTTGGCGTTGTAATGAAGACGAAGTGAGATTCAATCATGTTAGTAGGCATTTGTTCACATCGTATACTAACTAGTTTGTAAGCTTGAAAATAACAGTTGGAGTACCCAGCTACATTGGATGTTTGCGCCGGACAGTCATGCAAGGTACTATGGAAGCCTACGCGCGATCTATCATAAGTGCAACTATCGATTGAGCTATCCGGCAAAAAACAGTAGCGTTGCTAAGAACCGAACCCAACTCACCAGATTCCTATAGTCAGGATATGACTGACTCAGATTGTGTGCTAGATAGCGGGTTATAGTAACATCATCTCCCGAGAGAAGTGTTTTATCGGTTTCCATTATGAAGTTTGAAACGATCAGATGATATACTAATTAAGGGTCACTGGAGGAGAGAACCGTTTCCCACCTATTACTCAGTTTAAACAGCATACTTTCTTGAGATCAAAATTGGAAAGACATCAGCACGCCAATTGACCACCAAGTTAGTACCTCAGAACACAATAAAACATTATACGCAGTTAGCTACAGTGCCTCCTATCCCTCGTGCTGCCCACCGTCAAACCATTGACTTTGAACTGTGACTTCAATGTTAGAGCATCTTAGGAGCCACCATTCTTCGAAAAGCGCAAGAAGGGTATAACACTATTGCTTGTGATGAATTTGTACTATGGTAGGAAAACAAAGCAAAGCAAATGCTCAAGTGTGGAGCGAGCTGCGCAGTATACACAACCATCTCATCGTTGTTTGTAGTCAGGTTAGAGGGTCTGCTAGAGGACCCCTATTATCGTAAATGCTTTTCCGTTTCACTCCTTGCCTTACGGCGGTTATATAATGCAACGCCAAACCGACAGAAGGACAAATAAGTATATCTTACATCACCACATCGTAAACTCCGACACGCCAGTACAATGGTCTGTCATCAAGCCAACAGTGATATCTAATGCGCGCCATTCCGTCCATTTGCGACCTCCGCTGACTTCACCCAAAGCTTCCTGGCGGGTAGTGTCTTGGGTAGGTTTCCTGTTGATTGTGCCTCTGTAACGTCGTCATACTGCTGGTCAACCGCCTGCTCAGCAAGCTTTTGGGTTTCTTGGGTCCATTCTTCTAGCCGATGCTGTTCGATGTGCTTACGAAGGTTTGCATCTTCCCATCGCATAGCTTCGAGCATCTTCTCTTGGTAACCCTTCTCCATGTTCGTAAAGCGTCTGTCCAGCGTGTCTGTGTAGACACCGACAGCCTGTGAAGGTGCTAATCTCCGATGCGCCAACTTAGCCTCGCGGCTGTTTTCTATTCCTTATTAGCTGCAGGCAATTGGTATGGGACAAACAGACTTACGGTTAGCATATAAGGTGCAGTAGAGTTGGAAGAGGTCGGTTTGGCCGAGAACATCCATTGTTTCCTCGTCATCCTTCATTGAAGTGTTATTGATCGAGGTCCAATCTTCACGCAGGAAGCATCGTCTCCAAATAAGTCTCTCAGCTTGGTAACGCTCGTCTCCGCGAAGACCATTGCTGGCCACTTGAATGGCGAGGAAAAATTGATCGGCAATGTTTTCTTTAGTCTCTGGAGGTAGCGTGACCATGGTGAGAAGATCAATTAGAGTTAGTGGATCGAGAGCTTCGTGCTTGAGTAGCCTTTTCATGGCATCGTCGAAAAGTTGGGCGAGGATTTTGTACTTTTTCGGACATTGTAGACCAAAAGCATCTTGAACGAGACGAGGTTCTGAGGCTTCATCGAGGGCTACCTTGATGACTGGACGGATTTGAGTTTCATAGAATTCGTCTTGAATGTTGATGATAGCGAGCTCTTTATCAATTGCATCAACCCGTGCGTCCTCTGTTGTTCCATTGATGCTTACTTCCTGGATGGCCACTGATGCTTTACTGGCAGGGCGTGAGCACTCTGCCATTCGAGCTAGCTTGCCGAGGCTGAGTTCAATCTTCTTGTTCCAGACTTGTTGCTCCCTGGCCAGACCGAGATCGAGAAGCGTATTAGCTGCGTGGTCTATGTCCTCCTCGCCAACGATATCATTGATCCAAGATATTTTAGCTAATTCTGGCTTTGTTCGCAGGTAAATGGTTTTGTACTTCTTGTCACCCTCGTATTCAAGGAGGGCATCTACACCATAAGTTGCGAAAAGGTAATCATAAAATGGAAATGCGAAGTCCTCGCCATAGGTGTCAAAGCAGTCGCGAACCTTTTTCTCCTTTTCCGTCATTCTTGACTCGATCTTTTCAGCCTGACTAGGAGAAATATCCGAGGAAGAGAGCTCATCGCGAAGGAGGTCAATTTCGCGAGTGAGTACCTCTGCCAATGCATGTAGGGACCTATGGGTTTCTGCAATTTTGATTGCAGCCTCCCAGTTATTGGATTGGGCGAGTGAAACAACTTTGTTATGACGGTCTTCGTTATAAACTTCCTCATATTTTTGGCCTTCTGATATTAACTTAGAATCTCCACTTGCAAGATTCCATCTAGTCAATTCTTGAAGCACAGAGAGATAAATCTCAGTCATTTCTGGCAATAATTGCCTCATTCTGGTAATCTGATCTTTCTGTTCCTCGGTATGGGATTCGTCAGGGTGCTTGACCCATTCAGTGACCAATTCCACTTGGCGCTTCACGTTGTTTGCCACAAATTTGTTTGCAGTCCAGGGTGTAGGTAAGCCTGAGTAATCGCCTTCAAGAATGCCGTGGTTGAGCTTCTCTCTTTTCAGCCCGTAGAGTTCAAGATGGGCTTGCCGAAAGGTATATGCGTCACGAATGGTGCTGTTGTAAATGTCCGAAGCCTCGTATGTCAATCGCGTGAGAGAGACTGTGTCCAATTTTGCCTTAGAGTTGTGCTTGATAACTTGGTAGGCCCAGGCGATGAACAGCTCCATCCGGTGAATGTCGTGTATAAACCAGTGCCTAAGCTCGTCCGTCTCTCCCTTGGCACGGTCAGGCTTTGACTTTTCTTCAGAGCGAATGTATTCTACGATTTCCGCTACAATAGTTTTCTTCGAAGTTGCAGGACGCATGTGCAGGAATTCCTCGTGCTTGCGCCAGAGTGTACCAGCAACATGCATCTTCTCCGCGTTCCAAATCAGCTGCCATTTAGTGCTCCGGTCCAGGTTGACGCCAATTCGGTTGATATGCGTCATTATTGTGTGCAAGAACCGAACGCGATCCTTAATGTTGTCGTCGAGCCTAGCGGCCAATGGTGCGAGGTGTGGTCCAGTTGAAGCAAGAATATCTTCACTCAGTGCCAAGGCTGCCTCTCCATACTCCCTGTCGCTAAAGCGAATGTTGTGCTGCACGTCGAATACAAGAGGGTTGTCGTCTTTGATACCAAAAAAGACGGCCTGTTCTAGTTTGATTTTCGCTGTAAGCTTAGGAGGCGCCATGCTCGCAAAACGTTGGCAATCGGTAATTGCCACACGCATAATACCAACTCCTCGCACAAGTAGCACAGCGGTCGGATTCTTCGTCTTGATCCGAGCCGGCCGTATCTCATTATCTTCATTGTCGTAGATCTGAGGTTCTTCTGAGCCAGATCCTACAATCTCCAGGGCTGGATCGCGACGTAAATCAATGATGTCCTCAAAGTCGGCCGGTAAGACATGATTATCTTCCATAATTTGGGAATCTGGTGTTTCGGGAGGCTGGGCGACAGAAGCCACTACAGTGGCATGGTCGAAAACGAGGAAGGCAATCACATTAGGCTTAGGTAGATATAGTCGTGGTCTCGCGAGCGCATGCGGATCGGGTGGAGTGGTAAAACTTGATATTGATCGAACCATACCGATGTCTATGGGGGAATCTTGTGGATGTCCATTTTGTATTAACATCTCAACTAGACTATACCGGCAAAGGTGCTTATCGTCAAGTGAAGTCAATAATAATAAGTGTTGTCGATCGTCGGCTGGTGGTAGCTGACGTAACTTGCTCATCTCGGTATACTTAGAAGACATGCCCTTTGGTACGAAGCAGAAGTCAATAATCTTGAAGGAGTCGGAAGCGAGCGCACTACTCTTTTCATCTGTATGCCGGATTGCGTCGAAAATAGCACTTCGCACATCTAATTCAGCGAGCAGGTCATGGTGTCCTCCACGGTGTATCCTCCACGAATTTATTCGACCTTTCGACGTCGCGGCTACGACAGTGCACTCGCCCTGCTTCGACGACCGACCAGCTCGCACGGCTGCTATATCGCCCTGTAGTGCCGAGTGAGAAAGAACGTTACGTATGCTCCCAAGAAAGCCCCCGCTGGAGGGTCCAAGACTGGTGCGCAGGAACTGGACCGAAACTTTAGGTCGTCCTTGTGCATCTCGTACGCTGAGGTACGCGATTCGACCCGTGCTAAATGCCAAGATAAAGCCAGCAGCTGCTTCCACATTGATCAACTGAATGACACGTTCCCCAGAGCACATTCCGGATATAGAGTCCTCAACACCGGTTCGTTGTTGTCGCATAAAGTCGAGGGTTGTAGCGCTGGAGATTGATTCCCAAAAGGTGATCTTACCACTCGTAGGCATCACAACTACAAGGCCAGGTTCGGAGGAAGATGCAGAGGGAGAAACAAGCAGCCCTAGCGGCAGAGGGTCGGTCGCATGTTTCGACGGATACGGGAGTGTGAATGTGAAGGATTCGGGAGAGAGCGCAGGCGCCGTATACGGCCAGACGACGGCATGCGTATGGGTGAGGCTAAGAGCGAACCCGATCGAGGTATCCACGAAGCCATGCTGGCGACCTTAAAAAAATAATTCAGTCATGCGAGGATTGACATAATGAGGAGTGGTGTACATACTGCTTATGTCAAGTTTTATCCGTTCTGGGAGAGCTGGAAGCTTTCTAACATCAAAGGCAATGTTGGTAGACTATTCGTCGAATGTATTAGAATGTATTCGGACCAAAATTGAAGCTGAGTAGCGCGAAATTGGACAGAGGATGCGTCAACCTACCAGGAGTGTAGTGCCGTCCCCCTTGTGCAGCCGATCACCTTGCCGGCTCTTCTTCGAGCGTACGCTCAATTCCTGTCTCGGTGTAGCTACGGGCCGCTCAATGCCATCTTGCTTGGTCCCAACAGTAGAGGGTTGTGCAGACTTGACCTCGTAGTTCTCAGGAGCGGCAATCGGATCCACGAAGGTCTGCTCGGTAACTTGCGGACGATCGGATCTAAGCCGCTTAGATTTAGGTAATGGAAGAGAGTTGTCGGCGCTCAGTGGGCGTTGGCGTCGGCGGCCGCGGGTGGTCATGGACGTGGGAGCACCGTTCTGGCTGCCGTTGGTTGGCGCCGGAGCAAACATGATAACGGATGGACCGCGGAAGCCGGGTGCTGATGACGTGGTGGATGCGTTGGCGATGGAGATGGAAGAGATAGGTCGAAAGGGATCGAGACAAGCGACGCGTAAGGGATGGAGGGCTATTAGCTGGACGGCGCGGGTATTATGGATATGTGAGAGTCTCGGGGTGAAGCTAGATCATGAGATCATGGCTCAGAGACGCGGCCGACGGGTGCTGGCACGAAGGCGGCCGAAAGACTTCAGGCTTCGGGGAACGGGGGAAAGATGGGAGACAGCAGAGACGAAGAGAAGAGTGAATGATGAATGCGGATGTGGATGTGGATGTGGATGTGGATGCAGATGATGGTGAACAACGCAACATTGGCCAAGGGAAGAATTGGGAGAATGACGAGGCCATCCAACTGGCTGCTATTGATTGGGTCTTGGGCCTTGTTGACTGCATGGGGAAAAAAAAATACAACACACTGCCTCTGGAATTGGCTTAGCACGGGTCGCTGGTGTTTTGTTGCTCCAAAATGGAAAAGGCCCAGGCTGCTGATGACCGACGACCGCCGAAGCCTACAGGTAGTATAGGTATGTACAGCGAGCACGGGCTCATGCTACAGCTCTGATACAGCTGCCTGAGCTACCTACAAGTTAAAGCTCCAGCGCAGTCGACAAAGCTCTAGATCCTAGATCTGTCCTGTCTGCTGTACTTAATTAAGCTAGGTGGGTATGGCTGCAATGCAAGGCATGCGTGTTTGTTAAAGGGAGAACCAATCGTAAAGGGAGGATCAAGCTTTGGATAAATACCTATGTAACCAGTTAGGAATATGGTAAACCTCATTACTTCGTATGTACGTCTGAGTCCTGACATGAAGAGGTAACGTGTATGACTACATATGTAGGTAGGTACGTACAAGAGTCTGTAGCTTTGTTGTCGAATAGAGCAACCGTGTACAACCGTGTTGATTATTTCTTTGAGCCGCTTGATCCTCTAGGACTGCAAATGTAGTATAATGTTCATCATAATTATGGATTTGCTCCTCTACCTAAGGTAGGCTGCATGAGCCTAGGGGCCCGGTGTTTTCTAGTAATGGGATACCTATGTAGATGCATGTGGGTGCGGTATTTGAAAACGATATGCGACTGCTCAACATACAAATGGTCATTTCTAGATGCCTTCACCGTATCGAATAACTCACCGAGATTTTATATCTTGACGTTTCTTGCAAGAGGCTCCGCCGATTGATGGCGGTCTGCCGCAATGCCGGTGGCGCACAACATGAGGCGACAGATCAGTTCCGTCACCATCACTGACCCTCTTGTGAAATACCAATCGTTACTTGCGGCTGGATCCTGCTGTCCAGACCAAGCGCAGCATCGACTGGCAGTCCACCTGCAGAAAGTCTACTATCGCTTGAAAGACTACAGCCCTTCATCCGAGTACCGCACGAGGCTGAGGACCATTACGGATGCTTTAAAGGAGTCGAAGGGAGACGACAAGTCTAAACTACTAGCAGCTGAGAGTCACCCAATACGGCGAAATCCGCTCCTGGCGCGCTTCTTCGCCCGGACGTCAGGCCGAGATACCCTCGCCTTGACGAGAGTCCTCACAAGTCACGAGGAGGCTATTCACATCGATTCGCCCCAGGGGCTCTTTCTATCTGGTGAGGTAGGCACAGGGAAATCCATGTTGCTCGATCTCCTAGCCGAGGGTTTGCCGACGAGTCGTAAGCGACGATGGCATTTTAATACATTTATGCTATACACGCTATCGCAACTAGAACACCACCGGAAGATGCATTCTAAACTAGGGCACGAAGACCAGCAATACTCATTACTGTGGATGGCCAAAGAGATGATCGAGAAGTCTCCCATCTTATTTTTGGATGAGTTTCAATTGCCCGATAAAGCAGCGAGTAAGATCCTCAGTAACCTTTTTACTGCCTTTTTCCAATTAGGTGGAGTTCTCATTGCTTCGTCTAACCGGATGCCCGAAGAGCTTGAGAAGGCAGCCGGTTATGAATACACCCCGCCTACGGCAAGTGGTCTGATCGGTCGAGCTTTAGGCTTAGGGAAAGCTTGTGGGAAGGGTGACTTATTCGGCTCTTCAAGTGACTTTGCATCATTTCTAGAGGTCTTGAAAGCGCGATGTGAACTGTGGCAGATGGAAGGCGCCAAAGATTGGAGGCGAAGAGATTCTAATATTTCCCCTAGCGATGTTGATAAGAATCTAACACAAAGCTCGTTATCTTTGGCTCAAACAGTGACGCAGTTGGATCCTCAGCTCTCAGAAAAAGCTGAAGAGCCATCTATTGCTGGGACGAGACCTAAGGAATATTATCTCCTAAGCCCAGACCAAGACTCGTCTTGGAACGAGGCCGTGAACAGGTGCCGCCTCACATCTGCTGCCGATGACACGAGTTGGGAAGCTACAACTATAACAGTATACGGACGAACAGTCACTATACCACGAGAATGCAATGGGGTCGTACACTGGGACTTCGAAGATCTTGTCTCCTCATTTGGGCCAGCAGATTACATCACAATGGCCAGCACATACCATACATTCATAATCGACAACATACCAGCTCTAGTGCTTTTGAAGAAAAACGAGGCTAGGAGGCTCATTACACTACTAGACGCCCTCTACGAAGCCCGATGCAAATTGATTGTCAGGGCCGCCGTTGGCCCTGACGAACTTTTCTTCCCAGACGCTGAACATACTACGATGTCCACATCTCGGGCTATAACCTCGTTGACTCCTGAACTACAGCGTGAACAAGTTGACGCTGACGCAATACACTCCGAGACCATTGCTGAGGCTTATCAAGACCAGATGTCACCTTTCAGGCCCAACATCTCCTCATACACGGACTCGAACAACACAGATTACGACCCGGATCAAGACTCTGACTTCGGCGTCGACCCCAAGAAGTCCAAGATTGACTTCAGCAACACCGGTGCTTTTACAGGTGAGGATGAGCGTTTCGCTTACAAGCGTGCGGCAAGCCGACTGTGGGAGTTGTGCGGTGAGAGGTGGCATTCACGCAAAGGTGCCTGGTGGCAGCCGTTGCCTATCGAAGCGCGACATTGGGAGGGAGGGCAAGCCGCAAAACCTCGGCCGTGGCCGCTAAATGGGAGCGCAAGTGGCGATGTTAGGATGGGGCCATCCATTGAGCTGGATGAGCCAGCTGGTCTCCAGAGGCTTAGGGTCGAGTATCTGAAGAAAACGGAGGCCCATGACAACTAGTCAAGAGAGCCGACCCCTATATATCAAGTCGCCTTTTGGGTATATATCGTTGAATAGCATATATAAACAATTAGACAAGCGAGCACAGAGTTAGTGCGATGCAACTCATCATCTATTTCCATCTGACGCCAAAACTCCATGCTCAACGCCCGTGAACGCCTTGTAGGGGAATGAGTCTAATGTCCTCTCCCTGAACTCCAAGTGTAGTATGTTGGTGATGCTGATTCCCTAGCCGTGAAGATCTTCTTTCTTTGAATTTCCTTACAGAGAACATCTTGACCCACAATCTCCTTATAAAGCCGCAACTCCAGGCGCCCATGCCTCCCCGATGCGTCTCATCTCATCGCCGAACTTGCGGCTCGTGATCCTCTTGGCGCCGGCCAGTGCCGTGGTCTCATCGGGGTCGTAGAACGGGTTCTGAAGCAGGCGCACGTAAGCCGTCTGCACGGCGCGGAAGACGGGCTTAAGCTCGTTGTCTCTGAGCCCTACCCCTCCGATCCCGCCACCAGAAGAACCGCGACCACCCCCCGCTGCCGCCGCGGCGTTGTTTGCAGATCGTCCTCGCATGTCCACGACGGCGACGAACTTCACGCCTGTGTTCGTCTCGAAGCCGTACGCGGCCAGGCGGTCGTCGATGGCATGCAGCAGGCCAAAGTCCCCCGATAGCAGCATGTTTGCTCCGCCAGCGGCAGTGGGGTTCGCCAGGTGCCTCGAGCGTGCTTCGAAGACATCGAGGGTCCCGGAGAGAAGGAGGGAGAATTGTAGTGGCGTGCGAACGGGAGAGTAGGTCTTAGTTGTGGTATCGTATGAAGGGAAGATGGTTATATGAAGGGGGTTGTTCTGCATATAGTCATTAGAATTTCGTCAATCATGTCATATAATTCTCATGGACATTGGGTGGCATCAACGGCCTGGCGAAGCGCCGAGTAAACGCAACGGGGAACTACGCATGTACTTACATTGCGGCCTATAATGCCTAAACAGGCTATTGAAGGCATCGTGTTTGCCATCGTCGCATAATACTCGGAAATCTTGTATTGCTCGTGTATGGAAGATATTGAGTAGGTGAGGCTCAGTCTGGAAAGTTGACTCTTTCAAGTTATCCATGCAGCTTGGGGGTTCACCTGCCCCACTAATCAAATGTGAGTACAGCACTTTTCTAAGTCGCTTTTACAACTCACCCCGCCATCTGGATGTGAGTGAACCTATGCTACGTAGAGAGAAGATACCTTCAGTAGAAAAGTTGCGTTTGCGAACCACCCAAAGACAAGAAAAGAGCTTTCGAGTAAAGCGTTATTAAGTTGTATCTGAAGGGTCCTCTCTGTGACCCCCTCTGATCAAGTACCTCTAATGGGGAGATAGTGTGCGTAGTAGTAAAATGCTATACGCAGGATGCATAATGCAAATCGTTGAGCCTCAATAAACACCCAACACCTCACAGTCCAATATGTGTAGCATCTACGGCTTCAAAGTAGTGTAAAACCATGGCGTACACGCGGGCTACTCCTCCTCCTCGCTCAAGAACTCTGTTTTCTCCAGCCCCTTCAAGACCTCGTCTATCTCGACCGGGTCCGTAATCGCAAATACACCACCCCCTTTAACTGTATCTACACCACGCATGCCAACCTCTTTTCCGACAAGGTTTCTGCCGACTTTTCCAGGTCCTATACCGATCCACCTCCGGACCTTCTGCTCTTGGTCTAGATACTTGATACTATCCCACCATCTTACCGTCTCAAGACACTGTCGAGCCAGCAGCTCCTGGACGTCGGACGCACTCGCGAAAGGTCTCGCAGTGACATTGCTGATGCACTCCATAGTCCCGGGGAATGATATGATATCCTTATCCTCTCGACCCTTAACACGACTCTTGCCTGAAACAAGGTCGCGCATGACATAGTACGCCGGCCACATAATAGGACTATGAAAAGGACTGTCGCTATTAAGCTGAACGGCCCGAGGATCATGGCCCAAGAATTGTCGCACATGCGCGATTAACTCCTTGATCTTGTGTAGCGAGCCGCTGAGCACGATCTGGTTCTTACTATTTATGTTCGCAATGAGGACCTGGTCAATCGGTTTTCGCGAGTCTGCGCTCTCGCTGCGTGTGCCCGCGCTCCGATATCCCACGAAGTCATCGATAGCCTCAACCAGAGTAGAGAGATATTCGGGTTCGGTGACAACCGCTACCATTCCGTATTCGCCGCCATACTTCTCGCGGGCTTTTTGTGTGGCCTCTGCCATGGAATCAGCACGCCGGCGCACCATGTATAGCGCATCCTCGAACTCCAGAACCCCTGCCGCCACCAGTGCTGCAAATTCGCCTAATGAATGGCCGAGCGATACGTCTACTCGTTCTATGGCCTTGAATCCGCATTCCCGCTCTAAAATCCGCAATATTAGAATCGAGGTAGCCATTATGGCAGGTTGCGCATTTGGCGTTAGAGTCAGCGTTCGGTTCGTCCCGTTTTGTATTACATCCGAAAGCTTGTAACCCATATAGGAATCGATCTCTTCAAGAATGATGGAGGCAGAGCGTGGAAACGCTTCCAGCCATGGCGTTAACATGCCGACCTTCTGAACACCTTGGCCTGTATGCACAGGAAGGGGAAGGAGATAATCAGCCATGGGACGAAATCAGTCGGTGGATGCAAGATTACGTACCTGGGAAAAAGATGGCCGTCCGCGGCCGCCGGCTACTTGCTGTGGAGCCATGTCGCCGACACCCAGGTTGATGTTGTATTCGAATGGATGCTGGGGCACAAGGCAGAGCTGCTGACGAACGAAGAGATAGGGCCCGAACGCTGACGGAGGTCACAGCTGTTCGGGCGGGCGAACAACAGAGCGGAGACACAAGCGTACTCATCACCAGCTAGAAAGGAGCTGCGACAAAAACGACTCCCAAGCATCAAAGGTGGTATCGGCTCCGGAATGATGGTTCGTGTCAATCAGTCAGTCAATTAGTCCATGGAAGGCTCCGTCCGCTGAACACAGCACAGCCACGGTTACTGTTCCTGGCGCTATATCTTGAAGACCGGCGTTTCCCCAACTTCCCCCACACCTGGGGCACTATGGCTCCTGCCCTGAATAGTCACAACGCTAGTGCTGTTCGGAGGTACTAAGCAATGGTACAATACAGCTATGGTAGATGGGTCGATGAATCCCTTGAAAGGCTTCTCATAAAGCTCAAATTGATAGATAGAGGACTGTAGGTTAGAAGTCGGGTATCAAGCTAATCTAGAAAGGAATCTTGCCTTAACTTCGAAGGAAAGCCAGGCTGCTTAGATCTGGGAGGCATAGTTGGAAATTTATTCCCACAACTTTCAAGGTTTTCTTCCCTTACCAGCTAACTACCGTACGGTCATATGAATATACCATCAAGTATTTGATCCGCCAACTCTATGGGAACTATTAAATCAAATAACCAAACCATTGCTTGCGCTCACCATATTATGCATAACCTCTATGTGAACTCCTGATCTATATGTCTCGTATACCTACTAAGTACTTCGTCACATAGCTGCCGAGTACAATTTAGTGCTTCTGTAGGTAGTTGTGTATGAATTTCCAAAGTCTGATTTTTTTTTATGGAAGCCAACCTGACCGCGCTTCAGCTTTACCGCCCATCTTTCCACGTACCTTGTCTTGTGAATGGAATGACATCTAAACTTCTATTAAGCAGCACATCTTTGCACTCGTCACGCCACCAAACGCCGATTTGTATGCAGTGCCAATGTTCTTCGAAAAAAGGCGATAACATAATTGTAATAAAACGAAGAGATGCAAGGCCACACAAACACCAACATTGATGTCAGCATCGTATCTCAACGCCTCCTTTGCTTATAGTGAGATACTTGACACCCTTGTACGGTTTAATTCCTTCTCCTAGACCGCGGCTTTTCCTAGGGTCAACAACAATGCTCTCAACCCTGATCCCACTGGGAGTCCAGCCCTTGACAGAAAAACTGACTGACGCGGAACTAGGCATCAAAATCTTATTTTGTGCCACTTTTCTTAGGTCTCGCTCTTCTTCGGATCCCTTCATTTGTTCCTTTGATTTGTGATGTGCTATGGAGCCCTGGTATGGCTCATCGTAAGCGTAGTCTTTACCAAACCCGAATCCACTCGGATCTTCTTCGACAGCGTCATCCGCCAGGGGCCCTGCAACCGTACACCGGAGGCTAAAATACGACATGCCTGCCGAGAGCTCCTTGGCTGGTATATGCCATTCCAAGATGCGGTCTGCAGGGCTATAGCTGGCATCTCCTCTACTAGGCCGCACATCTGATAGGTTTCTGACGTCCGACGGAAGCGGCACGGACACCACAACATCCTGGAGTGAAGGAGATGCCGCAGTGCCAGCATGTGGTCCACCAAAACCCCTTCCACCGCCCCCGCCTCCTCTAGCGGAAGGCCCAGCTATGGACTGGCTAGTGGGACCGAATATCTTATTTATGTTCAGGCGGACTTCAAAATCGGAGCCCACTGAGCCAAGCCCCGTCTTCACCTCAATACTCAGGGGTAATTTCAGATTGTGGTTCATGCTGCTACTCTTGCCATTGGTGAAAGGGAGGAGATCAACTTCATAACCGGCCAGAATAAACCGTCCGTCTGGAGGTATGAAGCTGAGCTCTCCCGGACTATCTTTCCAGCGACTCAACCGGACGCAAGGATGGAATACTGGTAACTCCATAATGCTCTTTAGATTATGCTTCCCAGATGGCCCGTTGAGGTTTACGGCTATATCTGGGACACCAGATACCTTAGACGTGAAAGCTATGGTGCCATTTGCAAAAGCCGCAATGGGTCGGCCGGAGGGCGCCAGTGTAACCGATAATGTCTCGACAACATCTGCGTATAGCTCGTTGGACGTGTGACGTACATTGGCTCGTCTCCATGGTAAGGACGGGCCATTTTGGGCAATTAGAGAAGAAGAAGTACCAGAGGTAGCAAGAGGTTTAGTAGGTAAATTGATGCTTCCTAATAGCTTCCCCAGAAGGCCCTCCACTTCTATGACATCTCTCAAGGCATTCGGCTCGGTGGTGCTAATAGTGCCGGCGTCGCACATCTCAGTAAGAAGTTGGGCGACGACATCGTAGTTTGCTTCGATCTTATGCGCGAGAATTGGTGCACCGAGAAATTCTTCCAAGGCATCGATCACACGGTGAAGAAACTCGAGAACTAATAGAGGCTCGATATCGGAAGATGTAGTTGCCAGATAGAGAAGGTCCGCATGGTCGAGGCTAAATACAAGGGTAGGTGGGTTGGTATTGGATAAGTAGATTAAGCTCGGCCGTGGTGCTGGATGTTCAAGATACAGAGGTAGAAGATGAGCGGCAGAGAGCGGTCGAGAGGTATAGGTGTGGGAGAGAATGGCGCGTCTAATAAGGAATCGTTAGCAAGGAGAGAAATCAAGGAACATCACATGGAAAGTACCCTGGGATCCACTAACTTGTGCTCATCGTAGATGTGCAGCGCCTCGATTACACTATTCATCGTGGATGGCTTATGAAGCGCATCGTCAGGGTTCGGGCAAGGCAGAGGGTAGAGACTGAAGCTATCACGAATTGTGTGGTATGGTGGTAATTCTTATCATAATAGAGGGGTAGTACGTCAATAGATCCATGATGACTTAAGACTTCGGGGGAGCTGACTCTATACCTAATCTACCTAGGTAGGTACCTACCTACTGGAAGTATGCTGGTGTACCCACTAAAATAGCCTGCCTAGCGTAGAGGCTAGAGCGCCCTGCAGCGGGGTCCCCTTCGATAGAATAGGCATCCTTGATCCAGGAAATTTTGTTTTTTTTTTTTGCGAGTAAGACTGCTATCTAGTTGAACCGCCCACTCGCATCGATCGCGAGTGATTCGGTCGACAAAAGACCGCGACCACTCCCTCTTGGCGCTTTCTTTGCCTTTACCAAGCTTTTAGCTCGGCAATGGCTGGCTCGGGCAGTACAACGTCTTCCATGACCTCGACATCGCATACCCTCACCCATGCACCGTCGCTGAGCTTCCTATCCGCCCTCGTTGATCCTACAAAGCCTTCTGGCAGCATGGAGATGTTGGAACTTTTCGAAGCCGTTAAGGCCGGCAATCGCCATAACTTTCTGCAGCCATCGGCGGCGCTTCCCAACGCCTCTCTTCAACTTGCCAAGGCCACATTAGACGCATACGCCAGCCAACTAAGCGACGAGCAGCAGCAACGTCAAAAGGAGGCAAATAAGAAGCGAAAACGTGCTGACCAGACCCGCCACCCTATCGATGTTCTTAAAGTCAGGAAGCTACATGTTGATGGCTTCGAGAGTGGCCAAGTCTGGCAACAGGCAAAGAGGATCATTACAAGTACCCTACAAGATGCCGAGCAGCTTATTCACGACCTGGAAGATCGTAAAGAAATTCAAGTAAACGGTGTGAGCGGTACCACAAACCCGTCAGACTCGGACGGAAACGACTTGGGAAATCTATCTAACTCCACGGACGAGGACTCGAGTGGGGAGCTAGACGATGACATAGACGAAGAGGCATTTGAAAATGAAATGTCAAGTGGTGAGGATGAGGATGACCTACTGGGGGTTGAAGGCGAAGCTTTGAGCCAAGGCGAAGAAGATGGAGAGGAAGACGACGATTTGAAGGAGGGTGGGGACAGTGAGGACAGTGAGGTCAGTGAGGACGACGAACCCGAGCCATTGGTCGAAGACCCCAATGGTTTGAATGACGGCTTCTTCTCGATTGACGATTTCAATAAAACCACACAGATGTGGGAAGATGCCGATGCCAGAGCAGATCCTAATGTCGACCAAGGAAGTGAAGATGAGGAGCTCGATTGGCATGCAAACCCTCTCTCAGGACAACAACCCGTAACCAGTAGTAAATCAAGGAGGCCCAAAAAACTTCAGGATGATGAAGACGATGAAATGCAGTCCGGCGCCGATAGTGACGAGGACGACGATGACGAAGGTGGGCCTACCTTTGGTAATATGGATCTAGATGCACCAGAAGGTGATAGTGATCTAGAAGACGAAATGGGCGCAGAAGACAATGAAACAGAGGGTAACGCCAACAACATCTTTTACAAGGACTTTTTCGCGCCACCAAGGCGGAAGGGAGCTAAACCGAGTAGGCCGCGCAAGCTGACTGCTACCGAGCGGGGCGGACCGGCAGAGAAAGAAGTCGAACGGGCAATGGCGGATGTTCGCCGTGACTTATTTGAAGACGAATCGGAACGGGAGGATTCTGAAGATGCACTTTCTGAGGTTTCTGCCGGAGATCCCAAGTCGAGGAGGTCTGCACATGAGCGGAGACAGGCTAAACTGGCCGAAGAAATTCGCAAGCTTGAAGCAGCCAACGTGGCGAAGAAGGACTGGACCATGTCAGGTGAGGCCAGAGCCGTTGAGCGTCCCGTGAACTCTCTCCTGGAGGAAGACCTCGACTTTGAGCATGCAGGAAAGCCTGTCCCAGTCATTACTCCCGACGTCAACGAAAGCATAGAGGATCTCATCAAGCGACGTATATTGGCCAGAGAATTTGACGAAGTAATTCGACGAAGACCTGATGCTGCAGAGTTCTCGTCACATACACGTCGTGGGCTTGCTCAGGTGGAGGATACCAAATCAAAACAAGGTTTGGCTGAGATATACGAAGAGGAACATGTCAAGAATGCCAACCCAGACTCCTACGTCAGCAAAGCAGATGAGAAACTTCGTAAGGACGAGAAAGAGGTTGAACAAATGTGGCAAGACATCAGCGCCAAGCTAGACGCTCTCAGCAGCTGGCACTACAGGCCGAAGCCCGCAGCACCTACCCTGACCATAGTACCAGACATTGCGACTATCAGCATGGAAGATGCACAGCCAACTACGGCACAGGGTGTCGGCGGCGGCGACAACACACTAGCTCCCCAAGAAGTCTATAAAGCTGGCAAGGACAATGCCGAGAAAGGCGAGATTGTTAGCAAGAGCGGCCTACCTGTGGCTAAGCAAGAGATGACCCGCGAGGATAAGGCTAGGAAACGCCGCCGTGAAAAGGAGAGGATTCGTAAGGCTGATGGTCTCGAAAGCAAGCAGCCCCAAAGCGCGAAAGCTCGGCAACGCCAAGAGACACTTGGAGATCTCAAGAAAGGTGGCGTCAGAGTTATTAATAAGAAGGGCGAGGTGGTTGATATTGATGGTAATAAGGCCAAGAGCACAAAGACCGCTTCGAGTGGTACTTTCAAATTATAAGCTGCCGGTTTTTACCACGCAACGTTGACTTGTCGAGACATCCGCATTTGTATATTCCAATCCACCTACAATAATGAACTGTTTTGTACAATAACCTCCTGAAGTGATATGCCATGCTGTACTCGACATTCAATCACTTAATTTATATAATTACGAGCAAGAATGCATATTTTATCTCAGTGTATATGCCGGACAATGGTATCACGAGTCCGTCTCGCTTCCCCTTTTGGGATTAATAAACTCGGTAGGTATCGATGGATAAATTGATTCTTGCTGAACTTATGTACCCATCTGACGAGAATTGTTGTTGCAGTGAGCTGCTGGATACATATCTACCCAGAATTAAGTTAAGTCTGATGGAACAATGACTTGATAGTAGCAGATGGAGTAAACAGTTTGCGTCGCGACTAACGATGCGTATCCTCCTAATACATCTATGTTGATTAGGATGGAAGACGAAAATAACATTACAGATATTCTCCAGAACACATGAAATTAGAAAGTGTAGTAGTATTGCCTCAGGCGAATGCGCAAAACTACACGGGAAGTCGGACCTTGAGGGGCTTTTCTGTTGGCTGAAGCTTGGACCACTTCAGTATGGCAAGGTTCTACATAGATTGCATGGGCCAGGCTTGGTAAATCTTATCGCGTAAAAAAGTCGACATTTCCAACCGCGCATCCAACTTAAAAAGCATGGCGAAGGACAAAGTCCCATCCGTGGGCACGCTGGACAAGCCGGAAAACCTCGATGATCTCTTGAAGCAAGATCGGGGTGAGGACTGCCTACCATGCCGAATCGTAGGTTAGTACTCCACCTAGTATTACTGCTATCCCTCCTCTCTGTTACCTATAAATTGCTCATGTCCACGACGCCGATAACGGCGAGTCTTTGATTGAGATGATGTTTAATTTGAAACGGATCGGACTGACTGACAGCTTGTCATGAGTCTGGTAGGTGGCGGCGCATTTATCGGTCTCGCGGCGTATAGCTACTTCTCTGGCAACGCACAACTCGAACGCCAACGCGCCAAAATCCTAGCAAGCAAGTCCATGTTCGGCATGCGCAGCCGCAAGTTTGGCATTGCAACGACGTCGCTGGGATTAGCATGGTTGGGGATCTGGAGATTGTTTCTTTAAAAGGGGTTATAGAACGGGCAAGTCAAGCAAGAATCAACTAGATTTCTCTGCTAGAGAAGCCAAGGGCAAAAACCCTACTTTTACGCTTTACGCGCACTCTACGGACACCAAGGAGCGCCTACATTCTCAATCCCTATGTCAATATGTAGCGACGGCGAGATATTGCTCTCAGGAGTGGAGCTCTCCAGTCATCTTCGGGACTAAAGAGCAAGTATTATGCTTGTGCCAAAGAAGGTTTGAAAGTTCGATGTGTCATGCACACAATGATGGCGCTCGCAGGCACCCCTTACATCCATACAATACTACCGTACCAATTTTATACGATCGTGTACCATGGAGCAAAGAATGATCAAATTGCACCATTGCTTGTGGCGATACCCTACTCTGATGATACAAAAGAGGTTTGGGTACTTCTGAGTGTTATAGTAGCAATGAGCGGCCAGGATCGATCCATAATTAATGGCCTGTCGACATTCCAATCTGACGAGTGAAGTTACTCGGAAGAACCGAAACAGGATTGTCTCGCATATGTGGTAGCGGCCACCTCCACTAGCACGGCGAGGCGCTGGATAACCTACCTACATTTGTATGTATGTAGTGCCAAAGAGATTCGATTCCAGCCAGCAGGTATCCCGGGCATCTGGTAAGCGGACTGTGCTCGTAGTAAGGCAAGGGGTTCCAAACCTTACGGTACTTTATCAGCAACGCCTTTGGCAGAGAGTTACTACCTAGAGGTACTACAAGACGGAGATGACCACGTCATTGGCCATGGATGTGGAGGGCGTGACTAAAACGCGATCTATAATTCAGAGCGTGAGGGGTTCAGACCAAGCAGGGTTGGATCAACTAGTAGGTAGTATGTGGGAGACAAAAACAATTAATATTGGAAGCAATAGCATGAAGTCTTAACAAAACAATCCTAAGATTAAGAGAACTCGCATATAGTATTACCTAGGTAATCATCCAAAGCATCGTTTTTTTAGCTGGGACTCACAGGTGTCAATACGCCAATATCACTGGCTAGGAGGAAACTGGCATTCTGCCCTGATCGCTAGATCCATGTACGGTACTTCAGCACGCAAACGTGTCGTCGAGATGGTGGTACCTTACAGTACGGTATTGCTCTGTGAGGGCTGAATCCATCTTGGTGGTACAGTAGTTTCAATACTACTGAGTAGGTCGAAGGATCTAACCTAACCTGGGTACCCATATTGCTTAGGTCGCGTTGGGAATTGGAAGGATATTTCCCTTTACGGGCCGGCTGGAAGAATCCCATTTCAGACCCTTTGATTGCCAAGTCAATCTTCTTAGGTAAGTAGGTAGGCACTCGCCGTAGTTAGTGTAGGTTCCTCGGGTTGTGCTCGCGCGGAAAGGGGGCAAGAAGGGTGAGGGAAGATTCGTTCATGCAAGACCCGATCCTCGAAATGGACGTCAACAAACACACCGCTGCGCAGCAGAGAGATCGGTCAGGTCGGTCAGGTCGGTCAGTCAACCACGTACGTCTGTAACCATAACATGCAACGTTGAGCATCGCATGCAGGCCTTGAGTTATCATACTAAGGATATCTTATAGGTAGGTAGGTACATGCTTGGAGGTATAAACAAGTACGGCTGCGGAGCAACGGCAAGGACGAAGGATAATGTGATCTGGACCAGAGACCAGACAAACCTGAGTGCAGTACGTGTCTGACTGCTGGCCACTTGATGTAAGTAGGTATGGCATTGCAAGACCCTTGGCTAAGGCCCCTAAAAGCCGAGGGTGTCGAGGGTGTCGAGGGTGTGTGCTGGGTCTGCATGTATCACACATAGTGTGTACTTCGTAGCAGACTGGTGCAAGTGTGTGTCCCTACGGTGGGTGACCGGCCCGCGCTGTCTCCAGTCATAATTCGGCTTGGACTGACATCCCGATATACCTACTACCTACTTACATAGTATATTGTGCTAACAAGATAGAAGAGGGCAAAGGGAATGTAAGAAGTTGGTTACCTAGTTGGTTGGTCGCTTGGTGTCGAAAGGAGATGTTCGTGAACGCTACCTCCTTACCTATAGGGCGTGTCTCGGGAACCAATTGCTTCTGGGCTGATCTGCCGACGATACTTGAACTACCAGTACCTACATTGGTGCCTCCGTGTATAGGCAGGTAGTTCATCCATTTTGAAAACACAAGTTATACACCTATTACATGTGTAGATAGTACCTTGATCTGGTGCTCGTCTAACAAACCCTTCCAGCCTTCCCTCCTTTCGCCTTGTCGTCGCCTGATCGCGCTTGCGACCCAGAAGATCATCTTGTCCGTCTCTCTCGGCTTGAAAGACAGGATACCGGTAGGTAGGGAATTGATTCCCACGGTTGCTACAGCCACTAACTAGATCCCGTCAGGGCCCTGCCGCCTGCCAGGTACTTCGTAAGTAGCTACAGGTATTCGTAGGTAGGCTTGCCAGTGGCAAATGGCACTATGTCTAGGTGGCTTGATGCGGCATGGTTTGCCTCGCGCTTGCTGTAGCGTGCCTACCTAGGTAAGTACCTCCCCCTCTGCCCCCCCCCCCCTACCTGCCGAGCTGCCTCGCCTGCCATCTACCTACTTACAGTACCTATCTAAGTAAGTACCTACCTGTAATTCGTAGGTCTGCTGCTAGGGTGTAGGTAGGTAGGTAGAGCTGGCAGAGGTCAGTGGTGTACTAGGAGCAGTAGGACAGTGCATTCCATTGTCACTGACCTGAGCACCAACATCCGTAGCTACGGGTCTGCTACGGGTCTCTTATACAGGAGAGGAGGTACCTAATCGACCAACCCAATCTGCCAACCTAAACTCCCATTGGCCTCAACCCAACCCGGGAAGTGCCAGTGGATCGTCAGCCCCCATTGACTCTTATTTTCTTTCTCTTAATCAACCGAAAAAAACAACCTGCCTACTTCCAGCCAACCAGTTCATACCCAAGGACAGACCCAGTACAGACCCAGGAGTAGGCAGGCCGACCAATCGACAAGGGACCATCCAGCCTGCTCAACACTTCTTTCCGTGTGCGAGTCTCTCCTTCGACGCGGCTCGTCCTCCGTCCCAACGACAAATCCGCCGTCTGGCGTCTCCCGTTTTCACCTCAGCTCACTGGCTCCGTTGTTCTTCCCCTTAGCCACTCTCTACCTGTCGCGTCCTCGGAATGTGGTAGCCGTGTCGATGCACTCAGCTCCTTTGCCGGACTGAGATTGATTGCGAGCTATCTCTCTCGTCCAACGAAGCTTTCCTCGCCTTTCATTCGTAGCACGCATGAGGACGAGAGCGACGAAGGAATTGCAGATTACTGGCACACTAGGCTCTCCTCCAACTTTCAATACAGTATATCGGGATTAACCCTGTTGTTGTTGTCCTTATGAATAGGGAGCATCATTCGGTCCTTGCTGGCCCTAGACCAGCTGCGCAGTCTCCATCCCGATCGTACGTCTCTTTGCTCTCTTCAAATATTTGGTACCAATTTCGGTTGAATACATTTCTTTCCCAAGAGATTGCTCGTCCTGCAGCTGATTGCTGACCGCGCCTGGTTGATCAGTAGCAAGGAGAACATAAGCCCCAGCCATAAACCAACGGCACAAGCTGCCCACGACGGTCTAATGTTGCATGCATCTTCAGCCAACAATCATTCGTTGTTTTCCTTTGGACGAAATGCGGCTCAAAACGACGTAGAAGATAATACGACAACTTCTTTCGACTTTCTTCCCTCTGTCAGCTTCGATGACCTCCAGAGTAGCCTCGAATCTGCTTCGACTGATTTCAAATTGGCCCAATTCCCGTCACCCTCTGGTCAAGGCAGTATCATTCCGGACGCGTCATTCATAGATAGCAAGATGGCTACTCAGCATTATCATGTTCCCCAAACGGGAGGGGCTGGGCGGTCTACAGGACAGCCCAATATGCCAGGGAACCCAACCTCATCGAGAGCGTCTAGATCTGGGTCGATTCTAAGGAGACCTAGTACGTCAGGGCGACAGGTCAGCAACGGCTCCATTGCGTCCAATTCCTCTATCATCATGGATGCACCTACTGCTCCAGCAGCCATGCGAGCTCGCCGTCAGAGTCATTATCCCCCAGTCTCGAGTAGCAACATTGTGAAGCCACCTAGAAAGTCGATTGGACCGGGTATCATCGACTCCGACTATGGTGGCAAAGGTGGAGTGAAGCGCCGACCTAGTCTCCTGTCAACTGGTGCAGACAGGCATGCGAGTGAGGGGCCTCAGTCATCGGCTGAATCGCTCGGTGGGGAATCTGGTGATAACATAGGGCGACTGAACGTATCGCGAGCTACCAAGGCTCGCTCAATACAGCCGACGCCAAGGTTATCTACGACGTTTTCCGCAAGCACCAGTAGCAATGGTAGTCTAAATCCAGAGACAAGCCGCATTTCTTCGTCCTTCTCGCGATCCCCTAGGGCGAAGGGGATACCCGCCTCGTCGCGGAGAGTATCCGTCATGCCAGTTGCTCATAGCTCCCATGTGAGCGGACTTGGTGCAAGGACTATCTCTCCCACCGATGCCCAGCGGATGAAGCGGATGTCAGCATATCCCCAGAGCTTGGCCTCGATTGCAACCGCGCCACCTCCATCTTTGGATCTACGCCCTCATTCACGGTCGCCATCAATGATTCCTCGAAAAGCTTCTACCCCTTCGTCTTCGAGGACCACCCCAGAAGTTACTAACAGGAAGTCATACAGCTCAGGTCTCTCAGTTGGCTCAACTACCAGCCATAATACGCATAGAACATCGACCAGTTCTATTCAGCGTCTTTCACAAGGCGGTCCAAGCAGTCGACTGCCAGCTCCAAAAAATATAGGCCTTCATAATCCTGCCCCTGTTGACGATGAGGAAGATGTTCCACCTGTACCGGCTATTCCCAAAGCATATGAATCTCCTAAGGACTCTCCAGCAGAAATTTCTTGGCTAGAGAAAAGAAAATCCAACTATGCCACAGAGACTAGCAGCATTCATAGTACTTCCACCGGCACGCTTTCAAACGCCCCATTACTTGACCCTCCAGTCAAAATTCAGCCAAACGCGAACGCGCGAACGCTAGCTCCACGAAAATCTCTAGCGAGCACTTCATCAGATGTTGAGAAAAAAGAAGCTACAAATGTTTCGAAGAAGAATTTGCAGCCTCTTAGCTTACCACCTATCAATCTGGGTCCCCTGAGCACGCCTACAGCCGCGAAGATTGCAGCTCTACAAGGGCAGGGCTCCGAGAAAGGAAAGTTAACTCCGCCACCAACGCGAACACTCGCGAAAACGCCTACGACTCCCATGACCGCTTCTAGGAGCACCTTTTTCTCTAGAGGGCGTTTAGAGAAGGCCTCAGATATGCCGGTCCCACGCAGCAGTAGTTCGATTCAGCATAGCCGTGTGGAAAGTCCCAGTATAGACGACGTTACCAGCTCTTCAGAGTCTTTAATGGATCCCTCTATGAAAACCCCATCGCGCAAACCTGCAGTCTCCCCGTTCCTATCTTCCTCTGCGCCGAAGGGAGGCGATACCTTTGAGAGCTTACTGACCAAGTCCAAGACCTTGGGAGACACGAACCACACAATTGCAGTGGAGCGGGTTGTAGGATTTAAACCCGAGCAAAAGCCAATAGGGCCAAGGGCTCCGAAACTTGCAAAGCCAAAGTCACCACCCCCGCAGGCCAGTCCAGAGGAGCCTCCCACTCCATCTTCCATGAGTTCACTGAGAAGGAAGTTGAGCTTATCCTGGAAGCGAAGCAATTCAAAAAGTAGTAACCACGTTTCTGCCAGCTCGGTGGACAAGTCAGCAGAGAGACAAGCACGACAAGATAGCATGCCACCGCCCCGAATCCCAGTTTCTGCGTCAATGCATTTACATGCTACCAATGCCCCAAGTCCCAGTCATACGGCGAAGCCCATTGGGGGGTATTTGGAGTCAAAGCGGAGGAAGAGTTCAGCGTCAAGCTTGAACAATACGTTGCTGCAAGATAAAACGCGGTCCGATAGTTGGAATATTTCAAAGAAAGATGTCGGTAATCATTCGTTGATCGAAACATCAACCCAACCTCGGTCCTCATCAATGCAGAAATCCATCCGCCCAAGGCCGTCCGTTGCTTCTATTAAGCACAATGAGCCCTACACTGCCGAGTTAGATCGAGATGATCACCTTGCTGAAGAAGAGATGAAGAAATTGGGTTCAAGGAAAAAGGAGACAGAAATTGCAGCTCGGACTCTAGATGCCCTTCGCAAGAGGGCAACGCCAAAGGAACGCGTTAGCCCTCAGGACGCTATCCGAATAGCCATTCTCAACATCTACGAGAGAGGCGAGATCATCGACTATAGCGACATTTATTTCTGTGGTACCCAAAATGCCAGTAAGATAGTGGGTGACCTCCACACTAGTAAGCCAAATTTCGGCTACGATGACGAGCGTGGAGATTACTCTATTATCATGGGTGACCATCTCGCATATAGATATGAAATTGTCGATGTCCTTGGGAAAGGAAGCTTCGGGCAGGTTGTCAGGTGCATTGACCACAAGACCGGTGGCCTAGTTGCAGTCAAAATCATTCGGAACAAGAAGCGATTTCATCAGCAGGCGCTCGTTGAAGTCAATATCCTGAAGAAGCTCCGCGAGTGGGATCCTAAAAACAAACACAGCATGGTCAATTTTACGCACAGTTTCTATTTTCGAGGTCATCTCTGCATATCAACGGAACTCCTTGATATGAATCTCTACGAGTTCATCAAGTCTAACTCGTTCCGAGGGTTTTCTTTAAAACTAATTCGACGATTCACAAAGCAAATGTTGAGTTCACTTTTGATTCTCAAGCAACACAAAGTTATACACTGCGATCTGAAACCAGAGAACATCCTCCTTCGACATCCTCTACATTCTGAAATCAAGGTGATTGATTTTGGTTCCAGCTGTTTCGAAAATGAAAAGGTTTATACGTATATTCAGTCACGATTCTATCGATCCCCTGAGGTCATACTGGGAATGACCTACGGGCTCCCAATTGATATGTGGAGTCTTGGTTGCATTTTAGCAGAGCTTTACACAGGTGTTCCCATTTTCCCTGGTGAGAACGAACAGGAACAGCTTGCTTGTATTATGGAAGTTTTTGGGCCACCCGAGAAGCATCTTATTGAAAAGAGCACCAGAAAGAAGATCTTCTTCGACTCGATGGGTAAACCTCGATTGACTGTATCCACCAAGGGGAGACGGCGGCGCCCATCATCCAAGACACTGCAGCAAGCTATTAAGTGTGACGATGAGCCCTTCCTCGATTTTCTTGCTCGTTGCTTGAGATGGGATCCAGACCGTCGTCTGAAACCTGAAGAAGCAATCCGGCATGAATTCATAACGGGGCACAAGACCCCAGCACCCATCTCTCGAACTCGAGACTCATCCCCAATGAAACGCCATAATACTATTTCCACACCGAGGCCGCTGCCAGATCCACCAACGGCCACCAAAAGTAATGGTATTTTTCGCGCGAGAGAAGTGAGCAACGCGAGCCCGCAAAAGGCTACTTCTGGTCCTAGGCGTATCTCTAGCATCAACACTACAGCGACGACCAGCGGTGCAGGCGTGAAGCGAACAAGCACTGGTAATGGTCCTGTTGCCTCCAGTGCTGTAGGTAACAGCAGCTTACCTCGGGTAGCTGGCCGGACAGCTAGCGGCAAGCAAGATTTAGCATCTGCAGGTGCTAATGTTGCTATGAGTCGACGCGCTTGAACGGTTGGATCTCGGGCTTGGGACAACCAGCACCAGGCCCCATCCTGATTATGACATGCTCCATGAAGGACAATTGGGTATTCTTTCCGGTGCTGTCCCGCAGAATGAACATAATGAGATGTGGTCTTGAAACTTTTTTTTCTTTTTGCTTCTGCATGGCGGCGCACTATATCATTGTAATGCGATAGGACTGTTTTCTGGCATTCAAGCGAGTCGATCATGAATCGCCTTATACCTATATTTCCCCATTGTCATCGAAACCCCAAACTTTATACCTATTCCAGTCTCATGCAAATCATTATTCTCGCAGCATGACTCAGAACAATTGCTGGGCGTCCTCTCTAGGCAACGACATTAAAGGGAGGAGGCCGGTCCACTTGAATGAAATCTGGAAGACCTAAGATTCACTTTCTCCGACGATGTACTATACCGCTAGTAGAACCATGCTTGAAGGGGTGGTGTGGATAAGGGATAACTTGGCTACCCAAGTTCGCTAGTATAAAGATATGTAGTCTGGGGGCGAATGGGGTGACTCTAGATGGATACACCGAACATAGAAACGCATCCATGTATTTTAATGGCCTTGTTCATGATTTCATGTGACTTGGACAAGCGAACTAAGACTCTATAACCCAAAATTAGAACTGGAGGTTTTCATGTCTCCCAAGTCAAGGATAATTGCTTAGGCGAGAGAATACCACGATACAAATCAACACTCAGCCTCGCCTCCATGTGCGGTATATTTCAAGGTTCAGTGCGCTCTTCACATCACCCGTAATGACTGGTCACGGCCGGTTGCCATATTCCAATCAAGGAAGCAGATATGAGGCTGTTTCATACATAGGTATGGAGGGATATCATATTCTTACAACATTAGGCTCTATGATTTTCATGTTCATATCTTTTCGTGTGAGCAACGAGTGCACCAAATCTAATTAGAACATGTTCATTTCCTACCAGTGCGGCTCTCACAACCTTTGTACGCTAAACCCAGTCAATTCAAAAGAAAAATAATAAGAAGTTAGAGGGTATTGTTTTTACATAGCAAGTCTGCTTATCTTCGAGCTGATTATAACATAACAACGGCTCCAAGATTTAAAGCATCAGATTAGTTATATCTATATTCAGATCCAAGTTAGATGATATGTTACTCGCTCAAGTGAATGAAGTAAAATATGTAACCTTAGTTTTAACGTGTATGAAGACTTCAGACGAAAACGATTCCAAGATTATGATAGTTGCTTACCTACCTACTTGATCGGCCCGGAATCTTGGCGGAGGCCGGGCAGACCGAATGCTATACCGATGCTACGCATGCATTTAGCTGACGGGAATCTCGGGAGCGCAGCAGACATGGAAAGATCCGAGTTATTATTGATTTGGTGCCGCAGCTAACTAACAAAACTTGGCTTTTGCGGCGTTAGGGCTACTAATTAGTTCATTGCATGAGTTATAGCCTGGTCCCGGGCGTGGCACAGTTTTCTACGTAATGACTGCTTACCTCTGACATTCGATGTATTCATTGGTATTCATTCGGCCGACGTGGCGAACAAAGCAGGCGAGCGAGCGAGCAAGCAATATATATATATATATACCCGGACACATCCGGAACGGATTTACGGGTTTGTTTAATTCGGTTTATTCCCGTCGCGCTTTAGCTGGTTACCGGGGGTGGGGGGATTCAAATGGGAAACCAGGACGCGTGGGTTCGAGGTCATGATCCCGATGAATTAAAACGAACACGACGGTGTATATGCGTGTGCGTCATTCGTCTTATGTCCAAGTTGTTGTGACGCACGCATACTCTCAGCCTCAATTTGTCTCGCTTGAGGGAGGTACTCATTTGATTTGGAATAATTTCTGGAAGTATATCGCTGCCGTGGGTTATAAGTTACGCAAGCAATCGTGATATGTATACTAAATTTATAATTGCAGCACTCCAAAGCTGTTAGCTACCCAAGTTATCAAGATGTTGCTCACTTATCGAGACAGCAAGAGCTTATATCCAGGGGTTACGCCACTGTACTCATTATAATCTTCTGCCTGTCAGTCATCAGACGTTACATTGTATATTGGCTTTCGAAGTTCAACTGCCTTTGGAGGTCTAGAGAAACGTAGAAAAGACCACGTCGCCACATGCTCGCCTCCTCAGGCGTCGCTATCCGTCAACGTGGCTATATCCGGGGGCATTGTAGTAGGTAGTTTTGTATAATAAGAACAGCCGTTAAGAGTTCAAGCCATAAGCTGTGCCTACGCATATGCATATGCGCTGTCGCGGCGCGAAAGGTGACTTTGACTGCTCGCCGCGACCGTTGAAGATCAGCAGTTTCTGCGTACGCGAGCGAGTAAATTGGGTCTATGTAGATACTTTACTTATACCTGGCTTATATCACACGCACCACAATTAGTCGTGACTCCCACGAGATGTCCACGGTCCGTAGCGGGTGGGTACAACCGGGTCTATGCCGACATAAAACGCACGCGTGACGGCGGGAAAGGTGGACCAGTAGATGCTGACGCCGATGGGTAGGATCCAATAGTGACAATATCTCGAACTCTATATCACGAGTACGACAGGAGATGTTCTTTCAATACGGAGTACGACTTCTATGTTGGCATTGATATGGAAGGAATGTGCTTAAACATAGATACACAGAGGATTGTGTTTTACATATCTATATTATTGCAGGTTAATCTAACCGTTGGAATAAGCCTCACTAGTTCATAGTCATGCCCATGTCATTCAATAGGACACGCGCCGGTATAGTTAACAATTCTCACGGCAAAGTCATATGTAGTAGAGAAAGCGGGTGTGTGGGAGTCGCGGTACGCTAGTCCATGCTGCCTGCAAGACCTGCACAACTACTGTCCTTTTACAAAACGCCAGTGACCTCAAAGCCTCTGTCGTGAGTAAAGAATAACTAAGTCATCATTACATCACCGTCCTAGAAGGAATTCGGACGGGTTGCCGTTTACGTAAATAGGAGTTGGATTAGACCGATTACGACCCCCGCGTCCGAGAGGTTCGACGAAACGCTTCGTATTTTCTGTCTTTCTCTATCACCAATGCTTAGAAATTGCAGATAGAGGTTAGTCCGGACGGTGGAATATAGGCAGGATGAGTAAGGTAGGATAACATCGGCGTATAGAGATCTGCGTCATTTATCCCCGATTTCCCATATACAGTACAAATAATTAAGTCGTAAGTTGGTCGCAATGGGCGGCTCGAGCCGTTATGTTCCCCTCACCACCAAGTTCGTGCAGCCCTATTGCTCATCTAAGGGAAGCTCGGCTTTATTACTAAATGCCGTGCGCGGTGTGCCTGGGGTTCCGAGTGACAGCTCGAACTGCACCTTGCTGCGCTCGGAACGACCGGGGCTGCCAATTGTCTTACAAATTGGCCAGCTGGTAACTGAATCACATGTAAGATGAGACCTTCTCGCACCTAGTAGATCCCTCGAACCTAGAAGTATGTATGAGCACCGATCAGATAAGCTCATCCAGGGCGTATTTCGGTGAAACTTGCCGGCGGCGCCACTGACGACAATCTGAGGTCGTTTCTCGCGACAAAAGAGTATCGTGACCCTAAGCCACTTCAATTTCATGCTCACTAGGCTATGTAACAGCACAGAAGTGCATTTATTCGAAAATAGAGGGAGACAGCGGTGTTGTCCGGATCAGTCGGAACATAGCGGATGTCTCTTGAGAACCGCGGAAATCTATACGTATCGTAGCCACGCCTACTTTTCTAAAGCATGTGCTCGGGCTGTTCCCGTTTCATGTTAGCTCATAGTGGAATGTTCGTCCGATTTAATTGAGTCTATAGAGTTGACGGCATTACAATAGGCAGTGGTCCCAACTTTGCTAATTCAGAACACTAACAGTCTAACATGCAGGAGTTCCTATTGTACATTCACGCAACCGCCCTGCGGTGCATGTAGTATATAATGAAGAAAACCTTTGAGCCTCTGAATCAAGAGTGAAGGTACGCGAGTTGCGTATTGCAGTTGTCGAAGTTAAAGGTTATGCAATCATGTGATGCGTGGGGCTAGAGGCATATCAAGCAATCAGCAAGGTAAGTTTGAGTATCTTGTGAGGGCACCTGAGATTTCCCTTCTCGGATCGTGCTTCTATCAGATATGGTACTTCGACACGGGGGCTTTGGTATTGGGCTAGCGTAGAGGTCAGAGGTGAGCGAGTCCCTGAAAAGCTACTGAACCGATCAAATGGTACAGCGCCAGGGAAGTTGTAGATCCCAGGCCAGCTGAGACATCCTGGGCTCTGACAGCGCCAATGCAGGGGGAGGGAAGTCAAGATTAGCGTACCATGAACTTGGAAGTTTGCAATAGGATGTTTAGTCGAACCGCCTAACCTTAGGGGTACTTTAGTACGATTTTGAGTGGGGGTAGTTACTGGACTCTATCGCAGCGAGCCCTTTGATGTCCAATCTGCGTTGCTGTTTGTACCGGGAATTAAGTATTACCCTTCGGTACATCGAGTGGGTAAGTACACGTAGAATAGTTCTAGAATCATGATGAGCCGTTAGCCATCATCAGCTATGCCGGGTCGGTGGCTTGATGTTTGTACCTAAGCAGTGAAGATACACTAGTCCTTTCACAACTTCTTCTACCTATATGACTCACGGGCCATTGAGGACAAACTCTGAATAGTATGTAAGTAATTGGACTCATGTACGCATACACTATCATGATACTATATTGTCATAATACGGTAATCTGGGCTGTGATTGCCATGCGTGACCAAACTGATGCTCTACTTCGCTGGATGAACCAATAAAACACGTCTAGAAGGACGGGATTGAGGTGACTGACGCCGAAGGTCTTTGGCTTTCTTCGAGCAAGACATAACTATAGCAGCAATTGAATCCTCAATATTGCTTGGTCAATGGCCACGCATAACTACCCCAGGAAGCCGATTGACCAGCCTGGATCAGGTTCTGCGCTGCGTCTGACAATTGTTAGGAACTCCGCCGGCGACGC